CCCCAAAACCCCAAAACCCCAAAACCCCAAAGGGCAAGAATAGTTAAAATAACAGTGTTTTTTTTTGTAATTTATATATTGATGAATTTTAAAGTATCTCTTAATAATTCCATTTAAGTCTTTAAATTCAATTTGTGCTACCACCGTTATAAATATCTATACTTTAACCCTTTTTACTAGAATTCACACCTTCGTTATTATCTTAGATAATAGAGTTTTATTGGGTATTAATAAGGTTATCGTCATTAATAATGATCTCCTTTGAAGCTAGATTTTTGGGTGAGCTGGGACCTGGCGTAAAAACACTCTGGTTGTCGAAGGTCACTCCTCCGAATGTGTTCTCATTTGAGTCTGCCAATCTGAATTCATTTGAATTGCACCACTAAGCATTCTGAGCCTCATCTATACAATAAAGGATTTATTAATGGATAATTTTCTTACTCATGATGATTTGCCAGAGGGCTTAGTCCACTGTTCCATCGACTGGAAGATTAAGCATTTCCTAGAATCTTCTAACAAATGCTTCTGTAATAGCACAAAAGTGCCCGTTTTATGAATGAAAGTCATCCCTGAATATTTTAGATAAAGCTCTTTGAAGATTTTTGATGTCCTACTTATACATCTACTTATATTTCCTCTTCAGACATCAGCTAAGCATTGCCTAGTCAAATGCGATGTTATTACCTGAATTTTATTATGAATTTGAACCTTTACTAGATGTTCTTAGATGGCCAATGTTAAGTGTACCTGATGTCCCTTCAAACTAAAAGTAATCATTGCTTGACATTTATATGTCATTAGTCTACTTAACTGGGATTTCTTATTAATCACTTATGATGATCTTATAGTACTCAGTTTAATTCTTCTAGTTCTCATATTAGGAATTAGAGAGCAAAGCCTCATTCTTCTCAAATTTGAGGTTAGAGTCATAGTTAATTACAAGAGACTTTTGCTTAGCAAGAGGAGTAGCAGCTTCACTATTCAATTGAGAACTAGTCAAAGAATAAGGGATCTAGTTTGGCTGAGTATTTATTGGTTTATAGAGCATCGAGGTAATTTTGAATCTCTTTGTTGATGGCTAAGAGTAGAACTTGTCAGAATTAAAGGCCTAATCATCACTTTGGATCTCATTAAACTATTGCTTCATGAGAGATTGCATATTATGGGCAATCTGGAAAAAACAAATATCTTCACTTATTTTTTGTTTTTATGCTGATTCTTAACAGAAGAAATTATGAGAGATTGTTGGAGTGAGGAAGCTGGGGGTTGGTAAGTTCTCTGTCTCTGTTCTGTCACTCAACTATCTCTGCAGATCTAGTTCTTTACCAGTAGGCTGAATGTTATCAACCACTCTGATCTCAAATCGAGATTTACATTCACTTTTCTCTTTTTAGAGCTTGCTAATGTGTCCGAGATTAAGAGCCTCCAAATCGTTGGAAGAATGTACCATGACTTTATATTTCAAGCTGTTCTTTAAAGTTTTGCATTAGGAATCACTTGATTATGAAAGAGTATTGCCTACATTGTTCGGCTGCATATAGAATAAGTTATTTATACCAGACTTTCTGTCAAGGAATAAGCTAGTGAGGCCTTCAAAGAACATATCTTAATGGTGGTCGTGATCATGATCATGATTTAGTGCGGATTCGTCTTGCTTTTGCTCTTGAGAAGTGTGATTTTTATCTTGTCGATTCAAATCTACGATAATAGACAAGTCATCCAACATTAAAGGAGAGTTTTAATTGACAGTGTTATTAATGCCTAGATTGACTCTGAGATGATCATTTACAGTCGCAATACCTATCTAATTAGGATTTTGTTTCAAATCAATGCTGTGGAAGCTGACATCGAATGAATCATTAAGAGTCTTGTTATTCTGGTGCTTGAAATGTAATTAATTGCTTGTGCTCCTTTCATTCCAGAAATGCTGCTGGTAGCTTGGAAAGAGATCTGATAAGATATTCTGTATATCCTGCCTGTCCTCATCCTCATCATTGTTATCCCCAGTACCGCTAGGAGCAAACTCTTGAGATAATTAGTTGTTCTGATCTTTAAGGTCTTTAGGATGAGTCTCAATGTGAGCAAGAGATGAATTGAAATCATTCTTATTTCTGTAATTTATCGAGTTAACGAAATTCAGCTGATTGCTCACAACGTTACACTTAATCGGACAATCCTGATTTTCTCCTTTTTGATGATATAACTCATCTATAGTTTAGTTATGATGTTCTTAAGCACCAGCTCTGTCTTCAATGATGATGACTTCTTCACATGCCGGGTTTTTTTCATCTTTATCTAAACTCGGGTTAGATTGAGATAATTAATAGTTTTTTATTTATTGGTTTTCATTGTTGAAGTTTGAGGAATTATCCCTGTAAAGATTGTTGATTTCATCATCATTCAATTAGTTCTGCCCATTTAAAGGTGAATCCTAGTCATATTAGTTAAACTTGCGATTTTCTCTGTTATTTTTACTGGACGATCTTTAATTTTTACCGCTATATAGATTGAAAGCATTATTGTTATTTGATAGTACGATAAATCTTCCGGCAGTAGCCCTTGTCACACCAAGTTTTTCATTGATTTGTTGCACAAGGTGGTAGATTTAAGCTTGAATTCAGTTGGTATCATCTTGGTCGAGTTGCAAGTTTTCCTGCATCTCCTGAGCAATCAAATCAGGAGTGTCAGAGTCAATGTTGTAATCGAAACTTATGTGTTGAAATTTATTCTGTCTAACAAGGTTTATTTTCATCTTTATTTTCCTTGGTTAATCATCCTTTATAGGCGAATCCTATCTGTATTAAGGGTACCTCTCCTGACGCTTTTAGGATTGTATCGATTGTAACTTCTAGATGAGATGGTTTTTGTGTGGCTTAAGATAATTTGAATTGGTGTGAATAGCAGTCAAATTAGCTTGATCTTATTTATTAATATTTTTAGGCACCATCAGTAAACTGAGATAGCTTAATGTGTCGCTATTTATTGTCGTCGAGACGTGAGCATTTATTTTATGGTGGCTGAATATTTGATCATTCTAATTTGGTGTTCTCGGTGTAATAATCTCCTGATTGATGCTTTATTCTTACTTTTTACCAGATATCTTAGAAATTACTTTTTTTATTCTTGACTGGTTTTAAGAACCTACTGCGTCATTGGCCAGACTGTTTGAGTCCCTACTAATTTTCATATTAGATTGATACTTGCTAGAGTTTTCTAGCGTATTCGATTGCTTTTTAGACTGTCCAGGCATCTTCAATTAGTTAGGTTAATCATTATCTCTTTTCTTTGATAAACCATGTTGAAGCAAGTCTAATTACATTTCAAAATTAGATTATTAAAGAATATTAGAAACTTTATTTATTATAATAAGCGATTTTTTTTCCTCCCAGAGCTAACTGGACTGAATATTTGGCATAGCGGGGTTTTGGGGTTTTGGGGTTTTGGGG